GTGAGTGAGTGAATGAGTGAGTGAAAGAGAGAAAGAAAGAGAGAGAGAGAGATAAAAAAGAGAAAGAGAGAAAGAAAGAAAGAGAAAGAGAGAGAGAGAAAGAGTGAAAGAGAGAAAGAAAGAGAGAGAAAGAGATCATTTGTTGTAAAGAAAGTGTATATCAAGTATATTCTCTCCCTCTCTCTCTCACACAAATATATGTAAAAAACAGAAACATCTTGCCTCTGTCAACAACAAATGAATCGGAAAACATTAACTAAATGAAAAGAAGTGAGGAAATACTACATCAACCAATGCATTTTTAAAATTCGGTCTATATAGGAGGAATATTTTCCCTTTGAGGCGAAAATAAAACTTTTTTGGATTGTTACCAATTCAAATGATTTTTATATGTTTACAAAGAGGCTCTTAACACCTTGTTTTGTGTTGTGATTTACATTTTACGTCAAATTTTGTTATTCACCGAGTAAACTATGTATCATTATTAGAATAATAAATCATATCAATGTATATTCAGTGAGCAAGAATCACTGTCCATGGTCTATGTGGTTAGCGGGAAATAATTTTGTTACCCCTACTTTTTTAATAGAAAACGTGGTAATGTATATATTACAGAAAACAGAATGACAGTCATTTAAAGGGTAAACATATTTAAATTATTTATACTTTTTTAAAAATAAGGATCACTTGAAATACAAAATCTGCATTTACTTAGTTTTGAAAATGAATGTATAAGACCTTCAAATCATATCTTTAGGCAAATTTTTCCTCAGCACCAATGCTTTCAACATTGATACATACGTTTTTATCACTATACACACATTCGTTTCAATAATTACTTGTAACAGTATAAAATGTAAAAAAATGCAGTGTAAAAAACAAAACAAAAAACCAATAGCTGTTATTTGTTATTAGCAGATTTTACATTTATTTACAAAGAGCGGGATGTCATTCATGATACACGATTTTTCACTCCGTTTGATGTTAATGTTATACCTAAGTGTTCGTTTTACCTAATAACTAGATTATGTATTTTCAGATCTGTCATATAAGTAGAGTAAATAATTTTTTTTTTTTTTTTGTGAATTATAAAAGATCCAAAGTTTCCTTTACAATTAAGACTATATATCAAAAAGGAACAGTAACGAATATTTAGTATATCATTAATGGAGATGAAAAGCAGTGGGTTAGGTGCTTTTTTTATTAGAATTTAACTATTATTAACTTTTTTTTTTGTCCTTTATATGTTGTCTTAGGTGAACGAGTTACCTTTTTTTCTTATCTGTGTGTCAATTAACAGGTCCTCGATGTTTTATCTTGTTTTATAAGCTTGCCATAGAGCTCGCTATAGTGGTTCTACTTTTCTTAATTATCTGCAGCAATTAGAGTTAATTATTTATCCATGATTATAAACAACAAAAATGGAAAAAAATGAATAGAGAAAAAAAAATGTATGATTTTAATACCACTATGTTAAGAATATCATGCGTATTTTGATGAACTGAATTGAATCCATGCTTTATTTGAGTAGTTGTTTCGCAAAAAAAAGAAAGATATTTTATTTTTTGCGAATCAGTTACTTCCTGTTAAGATATGTGTTTTTTTGTGTCTAGTGTGTCACCGTGAGAATTTTTTTGTTTGTTTATTTATATATGTCAATCTACATTGGCATATTTCTCATTACTTACATGTAATTTAAGAGTCTTTATCTTTAACTTCTGAATGAAGATGGTAGTTTTTAATCAAAGTGAAACTTCGTGTGCATTTTTTTTCCTTTTTGTAGTTAGATGGTGAAGATGAAGTTAAAAAAAAGAAATTATTTTTCATCTTAAAATAAACCAACGGGAATCCAATATTTTTTTGTAATTCCTCTTCTTTAAGTTTATTCCCTTAACTGAATTATATATATACATATATATATATATATATATATATATATATATATATATATATATATATATGTATATATATATATATATATATATATATATATATATATATATATATATATGTGTGTGTGTGTGTGTGTGTGTGTGTGTATGTATATTCACACACACACACACACACACACACACACACACACACACACACACACGGAAATATAAATATTAATCACATAAAATAGATGAAAGACAAACGCTAAAAGTAAAATAATGATAATGATAATAGTAATAATAAATAAATGTATAAATAAATAATAAATGAATAAGTAAATAAATAAATAAATAAAACAACTATTGAAAAATTACAATAAAGCAGACACCATAATAGATTGATTGAATGACCAGCTGATATCATTTTTCTTTACTTTGAAATTAGTTGACAAGATAATAATGAAGATGATAATGGTACTAATGATGATAATGATGATGCTTGTAAGGCGTATTGATGTAAAATAGTAACAGTGATAGCATTGATTATGATGATGATAGTAACGCTAGAAGTAATAGTGATGATAATGATGATGGTGATGGTGATGGTGATGATGATGATGATGGTGATGGTGATGATGATATCGGATTTAATTATATTGATAATGATGGAAATAATGATAATGATGATAATGGCAACGAGAATAATGATAGGAATGATAATAGTAACAATAATGATAATAATAATAATAATGATATTGTTAAAAATTATAATAACAATAATGGTAAGAGTAATAATGCCAATAATAACCATAATGGTAGTAATAATAATAATGATAATGAGACTACTACTAATAATAATTGTTATTTTTATTATTATTGTTATTATAATGATGCTAAGGATAAAGATAATGATAATAATGATAATAATAATAATAATAATAATAATAATGGTGATGATAATAATAATAATAATAATGATGATGATAATGATAATACTAACAATAGTGATAATAATAGTAATAATAATAATGACAATTATAACAATAATAATAACAAAGGTGATAATGATTATAATGATAACAATAATAATAATAATGATAGTGATAATAATGACAATAACAATAATAATGATAATAATAACAACAATAATAATGATAATTATAATATGATAACAATAACAATTATAATAGTAATAATAATAATAATAATAACAAAAATAATAATAATAATAATAATAATAATAATAATAATAATAATAATGCTGATGATGATTACAATAATAACACCAACAATAAAAATAACAATAATATTAAAATAACATAATGAGAATTATAATAATAACAATAACAATAACAATAATAACAGTAATGATGATAATAACATCTTGATAACAGCCATAGAAAACAGAAAATAAGTCAACAACAATAACAACCACAACGACGAAGAAATACGGTGGTTCTCTCATCCCCCTTGTTAAGTGATAAGATGATAAGATCTAACGCACTTTGTCACGAATCTGAACTACCTGTTAGCGCAACTTTTAAAACATCTGCTATGCAATAAATGAGTGAGTTTGCCCAACCTGTGGATTGCTATGAGTTAGAAAAAGATTAATTAAGTATGTGGATTTTTTATTTAGGGGGGGGGGAGATTGGTTTTATGGCCGGTTGGGGTGGGAGAGGGAGAAGGAGAGAGGGAGGGAGGGAGGTAGGGATGAGAGGGAGGAAATGAAAGGGAAAAGGAGAGGGGAGAGGGAGGTAGGGAAGAGGAGAGGGAGAGGGAGGGAGGTAGGGAAGGGGAGAGGGAGAATGAGGGAAGGAGAGAGGGAGGTAGGAAAGGGGAGAGGGAGGGAGGGAAGGAGAGAGGGAGGTAGGGAAGGAGAGGGAAGGAGGTAGGAAAGGAGAGTGGGAAAAGAAGCGAAGGAGGGAGGGAGGTAGCGATAAGAGGGAAGGGGAGAGGGAGAGGGAGAGAGGGGGGAAATAAGGGGAAAAGGAGAGGGGAGAGGGAGATTGAGAGAGGGAGGGAGGGAGGTAGAGAAGGAGAGGGAAGGGGAGAGGGAGAAGTAAAGAGGGAGGGAGGGAGGGATGGATAAGAGGGAAGGGGAGAGGGAGGGAAGGAAAGGGAAAGGGAGTGGGAAGAGGGAGGAAGAGGTAGGGAAGGGGAGAGGAGAAGGAGGGAAGGAGAGAGAGAGGGAAAGAAAAGGAAAAGGAGAGGGAAAAGGAGAGAGGGAGGGAGGGAGGTAGGGAAGGAGAGAAGGAGAGAGAACGAGGAAAGTAAGTAGGGAGAGGGAGAGTGAGAGAGAGGGGGATATAAAGGTGAAATATCTGTAAATATGTATATATATATATATATATATATATATATATATATATATATATATATATATATATATTATATATATACACATATATATATATGTATATACATATATATATGTATATGTATATATATATATATATATATATATATATATATATATATATATATAGAGGAGAGAGAGAGAGAAGAGAGAGAGGAGAGTGAGAGAGAGAGAGAGAGAGAGAAGAGAGAGAGAAAGAGTGAAAGAGAGAAGAGAGAGAGAAAGGGAGGAAGAGAAAGAAGGATAGAAGTGTAACTGGGCAGTCGAAGTTCGCGGCAGTGTCGGAAAAGTCGGGTGTTCAGCAGCAACAGCAACGCATAAGTGAAGGGGGGTAACAGCGAAACGGCGTATATTATTGTGTTAGAATTTTGGTAGAGCGGAGAAAAAAAAAAAATTGTATACATACACACATACACACACACAAATATATATATATATACATATATATATGTATATATATATATATATATTATATATATATATATATGATATAATAAACATATATAATATGTATATGCATACATATACATATATACATACACACACAAACACATACACGCACACATATATACATTATATATATATATATTATATATATATTATATTTATATATATATATATCATCATCATATATATAATATATATATAATATATATATATATATATATAGAGAGAGAGAGAGAGAGAGAGAGAGAGAGAGAGAGAGAACGAGGAAAGTAAGTAGGGAGAGGGAGAGTGAGAGAGAGGGGGATATAAAGGTGAAATAT